CCCTAAACCCTAAACCCTAATACGAGCCCTCCTCGGCTCCATAGGTTTCGTCTTTGCACATAGCTGTCTGAGTGGTCTGAGCATACACGAATCCGATCCCCAGACCCCAAGCCCCTAAATGTGGGAGTTTCAGAAAATTAGGNNGGTTTAGGGTTTAGGGTACCTTATTATTTGGGGGGTCCTTATAATAGGGATCCTATTATTTAGGGTACTATATTAGGGTCACCTATTTTCGGAACTCCCCATGTAGGCATGGAGGGTCCAGCCACAGGATTCTTCATAGAGCTTGGCATTAGGGTGGTTTGGCGTCCTAGGTACCATAAACTATAAACTAGGCCCTTAATTAGACCCAAGCCATAAGCCTTATGCCATATAACCCTAGACCGCTTTCCACGTGGGCTTTGATCTGACGGTTTCTACGGCTCACGGGATCCTGGAAGCCGACTCTGTCGTGATCTCAGTGGTCGCGATATATGGGGGTCCTCAGTCATTGATCTGGGCTTTGGGGTTGACGCGTAGACTATACTACGGTTTTAGGACCTTTCAGCCTCGACCTGAACTCCACCTCAAACCTCGCTCGCTAAATCCTGCGGCCCTTTATAGTTTGAAGTGCAGGAAAGCCTTGAACTTCATAGGTGGACTCGCCCGAGGGCGCCGCTCGGATCCGCGAGATCGTGAAGGCCATGGGAAACTCCGAAGAGTAGCTTTTACATTGGGTTCAAGGCTGTTTCCGGGGTCGGTATCGTCGGCGTGCATGATCTCAGCCTTGTTCAGAACTGCTGCTACAGGAGAAGGAGCATGCAAAGCTCTTCATCTGGACCTACATCTAATGCAACACGCGCACACACACACAATTTGCTGCGAATTGAAGTCCCCAGGCAGAACGGAACGGCATGAAAAAAAACACTTCGCCTTATCTCTTCCCACACCGATCGTGCAAAAGGTGGAGGGGATTGACATGATCTTCGTGGATGCCATGCGCCTGTCAGGCCATACCTGCACCCGCAGATGCCATGACATTTTCTTATGGGTACCACGACTTATCATGACTATTGTTGTCATATTATTGTTGCTATTACTATTGTTATTGTCATGATAAGAGCCTAAATGTTAGTAATGCCGACAGTTGTTCCTTGTTCTAGGATCCTGACGAGATACACTGGCTAACCATGAAGAGGAACTAGTTTGGAGGCTCGAGGTAGGCTGCAGGGTTTAGTGGTACAGAGTTCCGAGCCCTAAACTATCGAAGGCAAAGTGATCGCACAAACCTGCGGTTTCGAAGGCCCCAAAGACTCCCAAGGACCGTAAGCGTACGAAACAGAGTTATCAGAACCCCCTCAAGAAAGGTCTCTGATGCCTCCAAATGTCGACCCTTACCATCCCCGCTGCGACAGACTCTATGCAGATGCCCACCATTAGGGACCTTGATAAGGACTCAAGATTAGGGATTAGGGGTTTAGGGTTTCTGACAACCCAAAAACCTAGTTGGTTCTTGCCTTCCCTATGAGCTAGGATGCCTTCATTAGACTTTAGACTAGCGAAACAGGCTTAAATGAAATGTCCCAGCTGTGCTTTCCCTCAGGTTCCTAGTGTCTGCTTTAGCCTTGCAAAGGCTTCCTACTATATAGCTTTAGGAAACTAGGGATGCATAGGGCTTCGGGCTACGTAGAGGGTTAGGAGGCGTAGCAAGTGTAGGTTATAAGTCCAGTTCCAAGCACCCTGGCCAGGGTTATCCTTGCAGCTGTACTTGTAAGCCTGTTTATGAGGCCCCCGAGGCTTTAACGTGTACCTAAGGGGTTGGGATACTACAGGTTCAAATTATCGACATCGTAATGTACTATAATGTACTATCAGATACAATAACTTCAATAACAGTTATATTTAATATGTATACCATAATGGGACATGACATATTGTAATTACCCCTAAACCCTACACCATCAACCCTAAACCATAAACCCTGAACCCTAGACTATCCCGAACCTTAAGAACCCAAAACCCACTTTTTTGTAGGTTCTTATTAAAAACCTTAATATGGGATTTATAGGGACCCTACAAAAAAGTAGGTTTTGGGTTCTTAAGGAAGTCTACAGCCGAAACTCGTAGCCCGCGATCCAATGCCCGAAGCCACTGGAACCTTTAGGGGTTTAGCGTTTAGGGGCTTAGGTAGGGGCTATGGGGGTTCGGGGTGTAGGGTTCTGGGGGTTTAGGGGTTCAGGGTTTAGGGTTCAGGGTTCCTGATTTGGCTTTTTGGGATTTTTTGTTCGGGTAAAGATCGGGAGGGATATTGTGGGCATCGGAAAACTTAGCAATATTTGTCTGCCATAGTTCCTTCAATAACTGTACGATCGTTGTCTCCGAAACCTCGTTCTACATCTTGAAGGCCTTTATTACAAAGAGACAGCCTTGATGCCTGTAAACCCCTATGAATCCCCATGACAGCCTGTAAGACCCCATGCAACCCATAGCCTTATGGATTCGCCGAAAACATCCGTACAAAGCCCTTTAAATCCCTACAAGACTCTGTGCCACACAAGAAACTCTTATAAAACCCTACCTGGACCCCAAAAGTATGTGGAAGGATGGCCTTTTCTAGGTTTTGGGCCATTATTTTACCCCTAAACCCTCTTCTAGTACGCCACACTTTTCAGCAACAGGAGCAGATGTCGAGCGGATTGAGACGGCCGCGAAGAAGCATCACAGGCGATCCCAGAGTTTAGGGTTTCGGGTTGTTTCCTAATCCCCCATATGCCATAAACCCTACCTTAACCCCAAAGAACCTACCTTTTTAAGGACTTATATAAAGAAATCATAATAAGGGGCCCTAAAAAGGTAGGTTCTTCAGGGTCCAAAGCCCTAACCTTCCCGTTAGGTTTTTGTGCATTTTTTGGCAGCTTTGAGGCTGTTTGACTTTTTTTTGGGTGGTGGTTTCTTTGGCCGATTTGCAAAGAAGAAGTCTAAAGAGAGTAGCTATGAATTTGTACGGTGATTCAGCGGAAACAGGCTAAGCACAGGACATGAACATAATTCAAACGCCGAACCTAGGCGTTTAGGGCAGGGAGACTTGTTGTGGCTTTCAGGTTGCCAATAACAGGGTTTAGGGTTTATAAGGGTTTAGAAAAGCTGGCAAGACCATGCGGACGCCTGCAAAGCGGACGAGTGCATGGAAGATCCACAGAGTGCGGACAACGGTAAATGTGTAGTGTGTATACATGTGCTAGTGTATGTGTATGTATATGTATATGTATATGTATATGTATATGTATATGTATATGTATATGTATGTGTGCATATATATATATATAGATAGATGTATGTACGTCTATGTATAAGCAAAAGTATATGTATACGTATACGTATATGTATATGTATATGTATGTGTGTATAGATATGTATGTCTATGTACAAGCAAAAGTATATGTATATCTATACGTATACGTATATGTATATGTATATGTATATGTATATGTATGTGTGTATAGATATGTATGTCTATGTATAAGCAAAAGTAAATGTATATGTACATGCGTATGTGTGTATATATATAGACACAAATAGATAGTACATAGTTCAGTTCTCTCCGGGCTTTGGTTGGTTGCTCGCAAGGGAGAGAAGCACGGTCAGCCTTAATGAGCCTAGATGCTAAGCCCAAGAACCTGCACCAATATAGGAATATGCGCAGCTAGTAGTACATCGCCTAGCCCTGCGCTGCATAGAAGCTGAGTCCGACCCGCTTGAAACGTCGCCGATGCAAGGCTGCTTGGGGGCCTTCTTGTACCTGGCTGCCACGTCGAGGACATGTATCGCGCAGGTGGGTTGTTGCATATCAGGGCCATCGCTCGGAGAGGGGTTTTGAGGTTGATGGGTTTGGGATTTGCGCTTTGGGCGGCAGGGCTCCAGCGTTAGGAGCTCCAGTTCTAAGTGCCTCTACCGTAATCTATCGTAATCAGGTGCTTTGCATGCTCCTGTTGCAGAGCATAGGAAAGTAACGACCTTCTAGTAACCCCGCAGAAAAGGGGCTTTGCTAGGCTATGCTAGGCCAGATAATATGTCTGAATCCCCTGAAAAGTCAGGGGTTTAGGTTTAGGAATCATGAACCCCAGGACCCAGACATCCTTTCCTATCAGAAAACTCAAGGCTACATCCCCTGCTGTCTCTAGAGCCCAAGCCCCTATTCGAAGCAGTAAGGCCCCTGTCTTAGACTTCGAGCCTCTGACAATCCTGTTGACATAGTAGAATGGAGCCCTTAGCGGAGCCTTGTACGACCCTGTTATGTCTTCCACATATTCAGACCCTCGACCGGTTTAGGGTTTAGGGTTTGGGGTTTAGGGTTTAGGGTTTAGGGTTCAGGCTACAAGCCTGTAAAGTCTCCAAAAATCCTAGAGCAACCTTACTGCCTTCTACCTGAGGTCAGCTTTCATATAAATCCTGCAAGTACCAACATAATAAAGCAATTCAGCCACTACAAGCCATCTATCTTTGAACCCCCTACACCCTAGACCCGGTATAGAACCCTCTGAAAGCCGAGCACCCTTCAGGCTACAAGCTTGTCTGTGCTGCGAGTGACCACGGTCTGCTTGCGGAAGGCGCGCACGAGCTTAAGGAGAAGGAGACGGTTGGGGTGTTGGGGCACTTTGGGTTTAGGATCTAGTGGCAGCATTTTTTGAGGCATGTAGAGGTCGGGCTTAGTGGTTTAGAGGTTCAGGGATTTTGGAGGTTTAGGGGTTTCATAGGGTAACAAACAGGATTTGCTAGGAGAGGTCTGGGGCTCAGGGTTTGATGGCTTGTAGGGAGCCCCACAGCCCCTTAGTACACATGTTAGCGCTATTTGCGTACAGGTTGGTCCTACTTGTATGTATTTACCCATAGGCCCCATAGTAGTTCCTTTGTGTGGCATTATGTTTAGGATTCTATTAGGTAACCCCAAAAAGGAACTACTATGGGGCCTATGGGTAGCGCTTGAAAAATATAAAGACCGCATTGATACTTAGACCTTCTGGGTGAAAGAGCGCCGTCGGAACCCCAGCACTCGGAAAACATGGGCTCGAGCTTTATACTACAATGTACAAGGACAAAATGATAGGCCTCTAAACATGCAGACTCTCCAAGCTAGTGGGTTTGGGTCTGAAAGGCCTTGGGGTTTGGGGTTCAGGGCTTCAGGCTTTCGCGGGGTTCGCCTTTTGAAGTGCTGGGTGGTGCAGGGGGCCGAGGGGGTTTTGGCTTGAGTAGAAATATAATATCGAGGCCTAAATAATTGCCATTATCATTTTTTTTGCTGGGGGGGAGGGGGGTGGGGTCCTTATCATATTTTTTAGTATAATGGGCCCCAAAACCCTGTTCTAATTAATATACTACCATTATGAACTTAGGTCCCTATAAAGACCATGATAGGGATGGTCTTTTGGGGCCTAATTCTATAATGGTAGTATACATGGACCCTCTGGATTAGGGCTCCCTAAACCCTAAACCCTAAACCCTAAGCCCTAAACCCTAAACCCTAAACCCTAAACCCTAAACCCTAAACCCTAAACCCTAAACCCTACCTTGTTAGAATCCGGCCCCAAGGTCTTCTAGGCAACTAGAGCCGGAAAGCCTGGAGAACCCGTAAAGGAAGGCATCCTTGCTCCCATTGTTAAGGCCCTTTTTTGTGAGTTGTGGGAACGCTGAATCCTAAAGCCTTATCCCTCAACTTCCATACATAACGCTACAGAGTCTCATTCTACAAACCTGTCAAAACAACGGAAGCACCCTAAACCCTAAACACCACGCCCTAAACCCTAAACCCCTGAAGCCCTTTCCCCCCAAAGCCTAAACCCTTAACCCTAAGCCCCCCTAAAGCCCTAAACCCTGAACCCGTAAAGCCCTAAACCCTCAACCCTAAAACCTCAACTCTGTTGGGAGGCGCGAAGGCCTGCCTGAAGGCCGAGCGACCCGCTGAGTGAGGCCAGGCGTTGGGTGTTGCCTCCTTGACTTCGGTTCAGGGCTTTTTGGGTTTAGGGTTTAGGTCTTCGGGCTTTTTGGGTTTAGGGTTTAGGCTTTTGGGCTTTTTGGGTTTAGAGCTCTTTGGGGTGTAGGGCATTTTGGGGTTTAGGGTTCAGAATGAATCTGAAGGCTTATGGGTTCAGGGTTGAGGGTCATTGGGTTTAGGAGTTCAGGGTTTCGGGTTTTAGGTTTCTTGTGTTTAGGGGTAGTGGTTTGACATTTGAGATGGTCGATGTAAGGTTTTGCAGTTGTGTTTCTGTTTCTATTTGGCGGTTTCGTGATGCGTTTATGAGAAGCTTTCCCAAAACTTGGGTCGCATTTGTGGGGCCTCTGTGCCGCCTTGTACCTATTAAGGGTTCAGAGTTTAGGGGTTCAGGGTTTAGGGTTTAAAATTAAAATTAAAGCCAAGCTGAGCAAAAATTGCATCTTAATCTTGTGACGATCCAACTCGACAATGCAGCTCAGACGAGCGATTCTCAAGAATCCTGCTTTCCCACACTCCGACGCCCAACTCCACAAAGCTAACTACGCGTCTATCGACATCGCAACAAAAGGGGCCCCCTTCAAAAACAAGATTGAACATGTTCAAATGCCACGATTTGAACTCTCCACTACACTGTCTCCACCATGATAACTCCTGTTAACTTCCATGAGCTTCCGCCTTGCAAGCACTGCGATGTGGCGCCGAAAATGGGTCAACCAGAAAGTGATCTGCAATATAATAGAGATTTTCGTTCGTGTATTAGAGCCCCGGTGTCAGAGTTTGGGGCTGCAGAGGTGTAGGTTGCGTAGCATCATGTCAGACGTCAGGGCCCGAGGTCCGTGAGCCCCTGCAAAGATAATCCTCCAAGTTGTTTTTGTTTCTGTGTATCTCTATATTTGTCCTTTCAGCAAAACCTATACGAAGCCCCTTTAAAGACTCACAGAAACACTAATCCCTATACCTACTAAGCCCTTATCTCCTAAAATGCTCGAAAGTCAACATTGCGGGAGGTTCTTCGACCACTAAAAGAGCCTTCGACTGTCCCTTCGAAGGCTGAGATCAAGGCTCGTGGTGGGGCCTTACCTTGTACCTTAACCCACCAGAACCGACACTTTATTTGTAGGGTCCCTATAAACCCCATAGTAGGGTGTATAAGAAGAACCTACTAAAAAGTGGGTTTCGGTAGGTTACGGTAAAGGAGCTTGGGATACTACCGGGCACAAGGGTTACTATGGCTCGGGTGTTTCCTATAGCGTTTTGCGGACGGGCGCTTTAGGTTTCTAGGTTTCAGGGTGGAACCTTTTCACTTTGGCTTTTGGAGTTTTGCAAGGTTCAGGATGCACGCAGGGTTTTTAGTGGCTTGGCTTTGCAGTGTTGATATGGCTCCAGAGAGTGCTATACTATACGGGTTCTGTAAGGGTTGCGTTAAGGTGGTGTTGCAAAACGGGTTCGTTTGCGTTGTTGCTGCTGCTTCCCAGGTTTTGGCTCGGTTTGGGGATCAGGATTTGTTTTCATGGTCTGATATGAAAAGGGCCCCTATAATGCCGATTCTAATCTGATCCAGGCCCCTGTATGAAGCCGCTATCGTAACCGTTCAAACAGCCTTTAAAGGAACGCTATTCCGACCATTGAAGTCAGTTTTTGTTCATCGATATCTCCTTTCCACTCCGTCTGCTGTGCTCGCCCCACCCGCACCGTCTCCGACTCTCCGCCTCCTCCTGCACCGCCTTAAACCCTAATATAGGGGCCTTAATGGATAGAATAGTGTTTGGGTGTACATACTGTAACTACAGTACGGAACCCCAAAGAAGTCTCGGTAATTGTTGAGACCCCTATCTTACCTGAACGCTGTAAAACCTGGCTATTGGGGGCTGCCTCTTATGCTTGCCTCATACAAGTCCTGAATCAGGTAGGGTACTTGGGTGTCTGACTGCAAGCCTGAAAGAGAGCTTGCAAGAAAGCGAAGAGTCACCATAAGAGCCCATAAGGGATCCCTCATAGCCCAGAATCTCAATATCAGGGCCTCCCTTAAAAGGGACTCCTCTGTTACTCTGTTCAGTCATGTGTCTAAACCGTGGGTTCCACACCTTGCAATGCATATAAATCCAATTCCATGAAATCAAAGCCTTAGTTCGAAGAACGCCCCACAAACGGCGCCGTCAATCGGCGCTGCAGAACCCACACCGCACCCCGACACCACGCCGGAAAGCCCGGGACAATTTCAACCCAAATGCTGCGCACTCTTACACCTCCCACCCCCAACCCTTAAACCTATAAACCCCGCAATACTATAAACCTGTGCCCGGAACAAGCCCTAAGGCCTAAACCCACAAACAGTATTTCGAAAGGACTTCCTGGGCCCTTGGACCTGCCGTCGGGCTGCTGGTCAGGATAACAAGGTATTTTGGCTTCAGGTTCATGTGAGTTTAGGTTCAAAAGTGCAGGGGTTAGCTTTGACAGTTTAAGTTTGCATGGGTGTCAGATGGGTTCTTTGAGGCTTGTTTTATATAGATTTCAAACGGTTTCAATATCTGTTTGGAGGGTTCTGTAGCATTTCAGAAGGTTTTGGCACGGTTGTTCCTAGTTCCCCAGAAAACCAAACTCTTGAACTTTCTGGGTTCTTGTAAGTTAGCCTTTCTCTGAAGGATTAGCCTTAATTTTAAGGGCCTTAGTGTTTTCGGTATTTTGGAACTAGCTAAGCTACGCTCTGGGGTTGCACACGGAATCGTAACTTACGCTATCATCACAGAAGTGTGTGTAAGCAATATAGTGCCCCTCCACTTGTATGGTAACTTCAGAAGAGTCCAGCATTTAATTGAAGGAATTTTAGCAGCTTTTCATTCTGGTTGGTTGGGTTGCTGCTCTCTGCGAACCATACTTTTGTTGCACTTTGATGTTCGTTCCTATAGAATAGCAGGCTATGACCAAAGAATCAGAATGATGGGGTCGAACTCTCAAGACAGCAGGTTTTGGGATGTGCAGGTGTGGCCTGAGGGAAGGAGACGTTCCATGGAGTTCCCGAAGTCAGGTGCATGTAAACCCCACCTTTCGAGTCTCTGGAAGCAGGCCACCAGATGGACGGATCCTTATTGCAAGAACCCGGTAGTTTGGGACCGAAATCTGCATGAGAAGTGCTTGGTTCCTGTTCTTCTTCCTGTGATTTCGCATGATCAGCGCTGTTCGCATCTGTTCGCATCCTTGCTCTCGTGCTTCTGTGATTCTTGTGGCTTTCTAGTTGGGAAAGGCTGGTTTTCTCAACCCGGCCTTAATCCCAAAGCTGCGTAAACCTCAAATCTTCAACCCTCCACGCTGATCTGGGCAAAAGCGACATCGGCGACCTCATCGCGATATGCGGGCCCGGCATGCAGTTGTTGGTCAGCCTGTGCAGCTCAGTGTGAGAAAACTGGGTTGAGGAGTTGAGGAGAGAAAGATGTACTAATAGGGCTTGCCGTCTGCGGTTAAGGGTTTGGGGCTTAGGGTTTAGGGTTTAAGCTTCAGTTGAAGGCTACATTCACTTTGCCGCAGCCATTTTGGCTCGACCGCATGCCATCAATGAGTCCCTTTCCTTTTTGGCCAGGATGGCACAAAGCAGGATATGTTGCTGTCTGTTTGGTGAATGTCATAGCAGCAGCTGTGCTCTTTCACAGGGAGGCTGACCTTAACTGTCATGCGAAACTGCACTCACCAAATGTGAAGAACTACTCGTTTTGGTGTCTGCAGCTGGCTAGTTGTGGAGCTGGCTGTGCAGCAGTTTTTTTGGGAAAGAGGGCTGGCGCTTCAGATCAGGGCAGAACAGCTTGTGCCATTGGCATCATCAACTGGCTGGAATCTCTGGTGGCTTCCATGGCTTTGTCTCTCAAAACGCTTCACTGCAGATGGCCGGGCTTACCAGAGGCTTTTGACCCAATCATCCTGTGCAGCCTGCTGGTGCTATTTGGGGCCTGCGCATTCGCGATTAACGTGGCAATAAGGCATCGACTGAAATGCTTGCAGCAAACCTCGCAACGGCACTGTTGCTTCTGCTGTCTTAGCTCCCTCCGAGCAGTTGCTTTTGGCGCTCCGACTGCATTTGTCGTTGTGAGTTGGCTTGTGGGTTCAAAGTTGGGCAAGACAGAGGGAAGTTTCATACAAATGGTGGTGGAGCTGGTCCAACTTGCTTGGGGTTGCCGCTTGGTGATGGGTGCGCTGGCCGTCGGAGCCTTTGCCCGTGCCTTCTGGCTGTTGCATGGGGTCTTGCGCCTCGCGGATGTCAGCGACATGCCAGCCACTGCCAGATCTCACTTGATAAGAGCTCGGAGGCTTGTTGCTCTGCAGGTGGTGGGTCTATCTTTTAGCCTCGTGCTGACTGCTCTGGCATTCCCGGCCATACTTACCAGTTGTTTGCTCTACACATCGGTGTTTCAAATGACTGCACGCCACCGGTTTGACTTGTGGTTTTCGATCGGGCGTTTTGAGGCTGGCTTTAGCTCCGAACCGATGGGGGGGCCAATTTATCGTCCATCAATGCTAGTTCTCCTTCAAGCCGCTGATGTGCTAGCGAATGCCATTGCTACCCTGCTCCTGTCTGGCAGTCACAGGGTGGTATCAGAAAGCAGAAAGTCTTCTTGCACATGCCCCTCAGCCGTCGCGGATGAGCATGATCCCAAAACACTGGCAGTGGAAAGCGAATGGGGTCCCGAATGGAAAGCAAAGGTTGAAGAACTGTCTTTGAGGGGCATGACGTTGTGCAGCCTGTTGGATTTCTATCAGGAGCACCTCTGCGCCATGCCAGACTGGCAGTACGTTCCTGCGGAACACAAGACCAGAGACGTGGTTCGCAGGTCAATCATTCCTCTCACTAGCACTGGCGAATGTGCATATGCAGCCTCAGCACTGAATAGAGACGGTGCTCGAAGGCCCCATGTCATGGTGACGCACAGTTGGGGGAACTGCTTTCGCGATCTGCTAGCAGCCATCATCTCTGATGCCTTGAAGGAAAACAGCTTTGGCTTGGCAGCGAACTTGCTGGAGGAAGATCCTGCTTTCCTGCGTGAGATCCTAGCAAGTTGCAGCTGTCTCGATGACACGTATTGGATTTGCGCATTTGCAGTGAACCAGCATATGAGTATATGCCACAGCAATCCTTACGACCGCGATCCTCTCACCAATGAACTGCACCGCGTATGCCACTGCAGCTGCGTGAACATCATAGACCCGGACGGCCGAAGCTCCAGTTCGGAGATCAACAAGTTTGATGACATGATGTACCACCTTTCCAGTGTAGGAGGCTGCAGGCAAGTCATTGCAGTTGACCAAGCTTGTGATTTGTTTCAGCGAGCATGGTGTGTCGCCGAAATAGCAGAAGCCAAGCGTCTGCGACTGAATCAGGTATTGAAGCTGAAATCTAGGGCCACTGTCAGGCAACATGAGCACGCTCTACAGAACTTGGATGTTCGGAGCATGAATGCATCTTCTGAAACGGACAAAGCACTCATTCTCAACAAAATAGCTCAAACTAACAGGATCGACCAGTTCAACAAAGAACTGCAATTGCTCATTCTTGACCCGAAGACCGGTCTCCTGGCATCCTGGCATGCCATGGACAGTCTGCAACAGATTGCAGAAGCCGGCCGGCTAATTCGATGGGGGCTTGCTGATGCAGGCACTGGGAAAGTGTGGAAAGCATGGGAAACCCACGAATGATCCTACTTACCAGTGTCTGGAGATTTTGCGCATCCCCAACCAGGCATGTTTATTAATTTGTCGCACCACCCACTGTCATGACTTTTCAATGCGGACATGGGCACCAGCCGCAAACATCCGCAAGCGCAAGTGAAGGCATCTGCGTGGCAAACAGCTGATGTGCGAGTGCGGGGCACTTCTTTCGCAGAAATCCTCCCCTCCAGTATAATATGATAGAACCTATAATCGAATACAATACAACCCAATATAATTACTATGAAAATAGTTACGCTTAATCCCTGAATTTTCCAAGACATGCCACTTCGATCATAGCAGGTCGTTATCTACATCTTCGACGCCGACTACGACGGCTACGAGGGAGGAGTACCAAGCTAAGCCTCTGCACCCGAGACGGCTACACCCCAAAGTGCCAACGACACCCAGATGTGCCAAAAGTCTCCAAAAAGCTCAAAACCCAAAAACTGATGACAAACCCTCCAAAAATCTCACACCAAGAAGCCTAACAACAGGCCCTTCCTCGCCGCCGCGCGCCCGGGCAGCTCTGTCCCCACGAGCCAAGCAAGAAGCCACCTGCCAGGCGGGGCCCAGTCTTTGCCCTGAGGGGTTACCTGGAGCCCCCAAATACCCTGTATCATACCCCAGAATCCCGCTATTTAAGGACCAGTAAGGCTCGATTAAAGGGCTCTTGCGGTCCTGGTAAGATTTGAGGTTTTGCGGTTCAGGGTCATTTTTGAGATTTGTTTCTCAAGGCTGTCAGGGCTCCGCATGGTTTTACGGGGTGGTATGGGGTCGGTTATTGGTCTTATGGGGCTGTGATGATGTAGACCCCTTTCCGCTAAGCAAACCATATTCGGGTTCCTATTGCAATAAATACTGAGCCCCCGGCAATGGCATACTCTCCCGCAAATAATAAGCTGAAAGGAACCCCCAACACCCAATCATTGGGTACTTTGTGCCCTTAAATCTCCTACAACCCCTATACCCTTGACCGTCATAGAGCGCTTAAGGGAGGCCTTATCGGACACTTTTGGAAACATGTTTTTTGTTCTAGCCCGCCCGGGCTTGGTTTCAGAGGTCGCTTTTGGGCTTTAGGTTTAGGGTTCGGACCTGGTGGAGGGTTTAGGGTTTCGGGCCGGTCCGAGGAAGACTTTAAGCAAGCACGGCCTTGCTAGCCAGGAGCAGGTGCTACGAGGCAGTGCATGCTCTGAATCCCTAAACCCTAAACGAAAAAGGCACTGGCTTGAGGACCAAGCCGGGCTTTCAGCCAAGCAAGGCAAGGCACAAAGCTTGCTGTCCTTGATGCACAGCCGAGCTTGGAAGGGGGATGCTGTGAACCTTCAAGTGGCTCGGAAGGGACTAATAACCCTAATCACATGCCTTAATATGTGTTACAACACCTTCCAGTGTCTGATCCCTACAAAGTTCATCAACTGCTTTCTAATGCCCTGAAGTCGTCGTGCCAACATATCACGACCATTGCTAGCATTGCCAAAGCACGTTGCAAAGCTCACGGCTGAAGAACTTGAGCTCTTTCCGACAGACACTTCTGCACATACCTTTACTTCCATGTCTCGAGCTAGGAATGGAACCTCAGGCATGCAGCGCTCCTTGAAGCAAGACACCGCAAGCTAAGCTAGCTGTTTCGAGCTGGAAAGCACGTTGCAGAAGGGCGGCAGAGCTATTTAACTCCATACAAACCTCGATAAAGCAGTGTAACGCCTCTTCGAATCTTGCAAAACAACAGGACCCTAAACATGGCATGATGAACCCGAACCTCGAAGCATCCCACATTCCCAACTGGATCATCCAAGCTTGCTTCCTGCTTGCAGGCTACAGCTGGGTATCGCAGGTCCCCATAGACATGGGGGGCTCGGTTTTGCTTCTGTGATGAGTCTGTGATGTTTTGCTCTTGTAGATGCGTACGCTCGTAGGCACCTTTGTTCGTGAAGCGTAAAACCAGCCCCTTTCTGTCTTGATCGCTTCAATGGCGTGGAGTGGCGAAAGTGCACACTGCGTCCGTTAACGCACTTGATGCCAGGTGTGGCACCTCGGATCCAGGATTTAGGAGAAAGCAGACTCCCGACACACCCCCTGGAGCAAGTCGAAGCTGCCCTTGCAGCCATAGCAAACGTGATACATATATATATATATATA